TCAAACACCTTAATAATTAATCGAAATGGATTACTTGTATTTACTGATTTGCACAATATTTACTTGTATTCTGATCGGTCCATTATAATTCTATTAAGGAAGTGCAAAAAATACAACGTTCTCGGATGAAATCAGCGGTTTCTGATTCAAATTCTATAAACTTAAAATATAAATATTTCGCATAACTTAAAAAAATATATGTTAAAATCTTAGCTACAATACAATTATTTGGACGTTTTTTTGGAAAATTCTTATATTCGTGAACACGCCGTCTATGAGACACCCACGTCAGTAGTTAAAGGTTAATATAACATTGTAAGGGCTATATTTCACCTATTGGTCTCCATGGCGGCACAACCAGTAGCGCCACCATGCTGACCATAAGCTACCAAACTCCACACCACACTCGGTGACAATATCAAAATAGACCTCTAATGCTGGCGTCCGAGATGGTCGCGCCGCCATATTGGTTGCGCAACCAATAGGACACCAGGTGAGTAACTCTTTATAGAATGGGGACTGGTTGCGAAGCCATGGTGTCACGGTGAAATATAGACCTAAAGAACATTGGTTCCTAGCTTATATCATAGTTTTCTAGAATGTCCTAGTTTTAGTAAGTCCTGAAAGAAGAATGTATGATATTGTGATTTATTTTTGGCTTTAAATATTTTTTTAAGATTTATGTTTAAATAAAAGTTTTAAATTTTTTTTTTTTTTTCGATATTATACATTACTAGAAAGTAAAGCCGCTTACTCGTCGAGTACCGGTTTTGTAGACACAATTATAGAACAATAGGTTGCGGTCACCGGTGACCGCTTGGTGTTTGACAGTTTAAGAATAGTGGATTTAAATAGGACTGTTGAGTTTATTCAGGGTTCAATTCTCCGAAATTAGCGTTTTACCCAGTGGCGTAGCGTGTCTTGAAATGTCGTGTGGTCCGGAGGTTTAAGACGCCCACTTCTCATGCATGAGGGTGCGGGTTCGAAACCTACCAACGGCAAGTACCAATGTGACTTTTTCCGAGTTATATGTACTTTCTAAGATTATTTAGACACCACTGACAAACGGTGAAGGAAAAACATCGTGAGGAAACCTGAACTTATAATTTCTAATTATAAGTTTGAAATTGCCAACCCGCATTGAGCAAGCGTGGTGATTAATGCTCTAACCTTCTCCGTGTGAGAAGAGGCTTTGCTCAGCAGTGGGCATTTATAGGCTGTTGATGATGATGATGTAGCGTGTCTTGACGGGGCCCTGTATACAAATTTGTAAGGGGGCCCCTATGAAAGGTGAAAATTTCTCAGAAGAGATTATTAGTATATTATTTAATAAGAAGGGCTTTTTTCCTTAAAGCGGGAAACTTTCTAGGTAACTTGCTCCGCCCTAATTATCGGACAGTGATTACTTTAGTTTTTCCAAAGTTTATGCCTTGAAATAGATTTCCTTATTCCATGGTTTCTGCCATTTTTTTCAATATTAATTTTAAATTAACCCTGTTTGTGTAGTTTTATGGACACCTGTTAGGTTAATAAACATTTTCACTACTTTAAGGGGGGAAAATCATCGAATGACTTCTCCCGCCTGGGTGAAGCGAGAGGGAGTGTCAGACTCTTACTGACTAAAAACCACTCCGTTCCTACTCCTGCACGTCGAGCCGGAGCCCCCCCGGTTACCCGTTAGGTTCTCCGCGACGTGTCAGATAGGTACTTAAAATTACCCTGCTCATTTCATGCATGGGTTGCGAATCGACAGGCATTCGATTTATGAACATTTCTGAGCATACTTAGTCATTTTTTTTATTTTTTTTTTTAATGAGCGCTTTCTTCGTAAGAGGAAATCAATAGGACGTCTTTTAGCATGCTATTTAATCGACTTATAAAAGGGGGTTTTAGTTCAACCTGTATGTAAGTACCTGTGTATATTTGTACGCGATTATCTTACGATTATGACTGTACGGTTGGTGCGGTGGCTGGGCAACCGGCTGCCGTGCAACGTGTCGCGGGTTCGATTCCCGCACGGAACAACACTTTGTGTGATCCACTAATTGTTGTTTCGGGCATGTGAACTTGTATGTTTGTAAACGCACCCGCTATACAGGAGACAATCCTAATGTGGGGCAACGTTTTTTAAAAAAGAAAAAAGACAAGATTGGCTGAACCAATTTTGATGTGGTTTTCAGAAAACTGTTTGTTACACATAGGAGAAGATTTCATAGTATATCTATATTAAGTACTTAACCGACTTCCAAAAAGAGAGGGTTTAAGTCGATTTTCTTTAAACATAGGTTTTAAAAGAATTATTGAACATTTTAAGCGTGCTCATTGCCCGATTTAACGCTAATAAGAGAGAAGAGAAGAGCATAATGTAACAAAAAGTAGGTACACGCTGGAGAGCCATGCTTCGGCACGAATGGACCGGCTCGACCGGAGTAATACCAGCCGAGAAGCAGAACGACGTGAAACAACGATTGCGTTGTGTTTCGTCGTGTAAATGGGGTTATCGGATTACACCTCTCCCCAA